TCTAAAAGGATTCTGACCTGTTGGGATGTGGGGACTGCTCAAGCTCATGCCATGCCTCTCACCATTGGGTTTGATGCCTTGGTAGGGTGTGGCACTTTTGAGACCCCACAAGCCTATGCACAGGGTCCTCCTTGCTACTTTGAACTAGTGTGGCTTTGTGTGCTCCATGCTTTCCAAAGTATGCTGACTGGTGAGGATACTAAATTGACCAGATTGATACAAAAACAATGTGAGTCTTTCACTGACTTCATTGAAAGGTGTCAACAAAGCATTAATAGGAAAATCAGCCATTGGAAGGCTGAAGATTCTTTACTCAAGGATCTTGATTATGAAGGCTGCTCTACCGAGTGTCACCTTGCCATAGGACCTGTTAGACACAAGAATGTCTCTGAATGGATTCTGACCTGTTGGGTTATGGGGACCATTCAAGCTCATGCCATGGCTCTCGCTGAGGCACTGGCTGCTCACTAGCCATGGGCTGAGACAGACAAGGGCAAAGGTTAGGTCTGTGGAGGACAGGGTCATTAGTCTCGCACCTGCCCTAAAAGATGTGGCAGATGGACGTTACTCTCCTTCCTTTGGCAAGCTCAATTATGTCCATCATATTATCGATACCTATTGCCAATGCAAGGGCAAGGCTAAGCATGTGTCTTTCCAGATAATGTGCCAGCCCCCATTTGGATCCCAGCCTGGAACATCAGAATTTGAGATGGACAAAGGCAAATGTTGGGCTTGTGGAGGACAGGGTCATTGGTCTTAAAGATCTGGCAGATGGAAGTTCTCAAATATATCCATCATATTGTTGACACCTGTTGTTGATGCAAGGGCAAGGCTATCCTTATCTCTTTCCAGATAATGTTCCATCCCTGATTTAGATCCCAGTTCGAAACATTAGAGTTGCCTGCAACGTAAAACCCTCCACAACCACCGACCCCAGAGGTGGCAGCCCTGACCCTGGAGGAAGTGACCCACCTCTCAACCACCAAGAGACCGACCCAACGTCGCAGACAACGAAAGCCACCAACCTGGGGAGACCTCAAACATCTCTCTCCACAAACAGAGACATTAGCTAAGCTAATTCCTCAATCCCTTGGATCCCAGCCTGGAACATCAGAATTTCCTGTGACAAAAACCCTCCCTCCACAACCACCGACCCCGGAGATGGCAGCCCTGACCCTGGAGGAAGCAACACACCCCTCAACCACTGACCAGCTCCAACGGCATATCTAATAACCTGGGACGACCTTGAGTATCTCACTTCACAAGCAGAGACTATAGCCTTTACTGGTATTTCCTAATTCTGGGACCCTGCATTGTTAATTTTGTTAAGGCTATTTCAGTTAGCTGTTGCCCCGTGGTTCCCTGAACTACAGATGTACCACACTTCTGTCTGCCTTGATTGGTCAACTCTTCTAGCTGTTGCCCTGCCTCCAGATATTGCCAGGCATCTTGCCCTTATCAACCTATAATTGACCTACGATGGGTTTCAACAAATTCTTGACCCCTGAGGAGGCCTTTAAGCAAGCCAGTACTGGATGTACTGCCTCTCCCTCTGCCAAACCACACAAGGAACCCACCCTTCGAGGGCTAGTAGTCAATGATGGGTAAGATCCTGAGAGATGGGACAACCTAAGACAGGCACAGTGATGTGGGGACAACAATGCCAAGGCAAAGAATCTCGACTCCCACTGGTTGGCATGGAGTTGGCACAACCTGCTCTTAAGGAAGCTCGCCATCTTGAGGGAGGGGGCTCTTGATACAATAACCCAGCAACCCCCTGAGCCATTGTACTTTGCCTTGATGTATCTGAACTGATATCAATATGCTATATACCTCATCTTTAAAAATAAAAAAAGGGGGAGATGTGGGAGACAGGCTTGAACCTAGGGTGATATTGCAACTGTCAGGGTCACATGGTTTCCAGGAATCCAGGCTCTGTAATCTGAAACCCAGTATGCTAATGAGGCATCTTACCCTCTATTCTGTGATAGGACGTTGTCTGTTATGCTAATAGGATGATGCTAATAAGGTATCCTACTTGCTGTGCTGTGATTGGACCACTATCCCTATATAAGCTTGTGCCTTCCTGCAATAAAGCAGACCTGTGTCACTGAACCTGGTCTCCTGTGTCTGAATGCAGCTCCGCTGACACAGTCTCCTCACCAGCCCTGGGGTCCGGGACCAGGCAGAAGCAGTGATGACAGGAGGCAGCACAGGGCAAGCAAAAGAGCTGCCTCAGCACCAGGCGAGCAGAAGAGTGGCCATGGCTCAGGGCAGGCAGAAGAGCGGCCTCAGCCCAGGGCGAGCCAGAGGAGCAGCCTTGACACCTGTGAGAATGAAGGAGCAGCACCCACGAGAAAGGAGGAGTGGCCACCACTGGCGGTGACCACAATTTTCTGTATATGAATGTATTGCCTGCATATGTGTAAGTGTACCCATGTCGTGCAATGCCCACAGAGGTCAGGAGAGTGTCGGATCCCCTGAACTGGAGTTATGGATGGTTGTTAGGCACCATGTGGGTGCTGGGAATCCAACCTGGGTCCTCTGCAAAAGCGATCATTGCTTTAAACTGCTGAGCCATCTCTCTAGTCCCCTGAATTATACATTTAAAAGTAGTTAAAATGATAAATTTTGTATTTTGCCACAATAAATTAAAAAAGCATATATGCTTAAATTTTTTATATATACAAAATACATATAATGTATACATGGTGTTTGTCATACACACATGCATACAAATTAGTGGCACATTAATGTGTTAAGAGTAGTAAAGATAACAGTTGATGAAGAGATCTCAAATTGACTACCCAATATTATACTTTAAGGGAATGGAAAAAGAACAAGCAAGTCCAAAGCTTGCAGAAGGGGGAGCTTAAAATTAGTGGGAATAATAAAAAATAAAAACTAGAAAAACAGTGGGGCAAATCAGAAATCAAAGTCAGTTTTTTGAAAAGATGCACGTAACTGACAAACTTGTAGCCAGTGGGTAGGTGCAGGAAGTGTTTGGAAATTCTGTGCTTCTGTTTAATTTTGCTGTGAGCCAAAACCTGTTCTAAAAAGTGTTTTAAAATATCCAAGAAAATTTTAGGACCAAATGAAGAATAATACCAACCCTTCTCTTTTCAAGAAAAACAGAAGAGGGCTAATTCTACATAGCAAGTACTACTGTACTCTCAAAGCTAGTATGCATGGCAGTCCACACTTGTAATCCCAGTGCTTGGGAGGCAGAGTCAAGAGGATCATAAGTTAAAGGCCAGCCTGGGCTCATTGAGAGAGACCCTGTCTCAAAAACAAAAGTAAAACTCCAACCAAGTAGAGACTGGAGTGACTCATCTCTGCATTTTCTATAGCAGAGTCTTTGTGAACAAATTGTTCACATCTATATGTTTTTTCTTTTAGATAAATGGAGTTATCATAGGATTGAATTATTTATGAAAAGCATTTAAAACAATACTAGGCACATTATCAGCTTAATCAGGAGCTACCTAATTTTCAAATATGCTTAAAATACTAGTATGTCTATTTTATGCACAAATAGAATGAGGCAAAGATACACTATCTTTTTAAAGGTTCTAATGGGTGAAATTAGGTTACATTATTGTTTAAATTACCATCACTATTAAAATTCAAATTTGTATAAAGCCTTGAAAAAAACTTGTCACTTTTCAAGCTTTATAAACTGTTCTATTGCAGCATTTTAACTTTTATTATTTATTTCATATGTGGGCAGATGTGGTGTTGGTGCGCCACAGCACCTGTAAGGAGGTCAAAGGACAACTTGCAGAAGTTGGTTCTCTTCTTCCACCATGTGGGTCCCAGGGATCAAATTCAGGTCCTCAGGCTTGGTGGCAAGTGCTTTTACCCAATGAATATCCTGTTGCAATATTTTAAACATTTTATTTTATATTTTTATTTTTTAATTTAATCTTACTGAATTTTTGTGTAATTCACATAGAACATCTCAATCAATCTTAATCATCTTAATCTTCTTTATATCCCTTTCCTCACTGGTACCCTCCCATAATCCCCCCACTGGAATTCATTTGTCTTAAGGCCTATTGTGTCAAGTTAGTGTCCCCAGACGTTCTTCGGTGCAAGTTCATCTACTGAGGTCTAGTCAGTCTATCTGGAGTATTTCGCTTTAGGAAGATCAGCTCTTCCTCACCAAGCAGTAATCAGTTTCCAGTATTTCTTCAGCTAAGATTGGGGTCAGCTGTCTATTTCCTCAGTTCTGTGTAGGGTTTGCATGGGTCCTGTGCGTGCTGACTGACACCATCACTGAAGGTTCATAAGAGCAAGGTCCTAGGAGCTTGTAAGACTCTGTTTCCACATGGTCATACACCAGCACTTGGCTCTTGCAATCTTTCTCCCCCTCTTCTGAAATGGTCCCTGAGCCCTGGGTGGGTGTAGTTAATATAGGAGACCTGTCCAAGGATCAGCATTCTTCAGACTCTTAGTCTCTACACTTTGGCCATTTGTGACCTTTTGTGTTCCTGGCCCTCCATTGCATGAGGGAGCTTCATTAAGGAGAATTGAGATATTCTTTTTGTCTTCCTTACCCCTTGTTCTATGTTCCCTGAGCCTTAGGTGTAGAGGTTGCATTGTAGATGTGCCACTCAGACATGGGCAATTTATGTGTATGAGTGTAATGCTTACGTGTAGGTGGGTGTACCTGTGTTATGCAGTGCCTGCGGAGGTCAGAAGAGGGTTTTGGATCCCCTGGAACTGGAGTTAACAGATGGTTGTTAGCCACCATGTGGATGCTGGGAATTGAACCCAGGTCCTCTGCAAGAGCAGCCTGTTCCTTAACCGCTGAGCCATCTCTCCAGCACCTATTTTAAATATTTTAAATAATAATAAAAGAAACTATAAATATAAATCTGTCCTTTTCTTGTATATTTTCCAGCTAGAAATTTTAATAAAATAACTTAGAAGTACAACAAAAAAAATTGTTCAATTTGTTACGTAGATCAAGAGATGTCAAAAACACACTTCACTGTGAGAGGTGTTTATTGGTTAGAGTGAAAACAAACACAAATTCACTGTCAACATCACCAAAAGATACCATTTCCATCATCTCTAGGATTACTGAAGTACAGGGACTGCAGGAAATGATATCCAAACTTTGATGACAGCAGCTGCCAAATGAAGTTGGAGCAGACTCCTTCAGTGGTGATCAGTAAAACGGAAAGCTCTGGCTTCGGGCATGTTATAGAAGATGTTCTGTAACTGCTTAGAATGCCGTGCTTCTAGTCGGAGCTGTCTAGCTCTCTCTTTGGCAGCCTGTTGCTCTGCTATTTTTTCTATCTGTTTCCTTCTTAGCCACCTGTAGAAAGAGGAATGATCAGATTTGGGGTCACATATGGGTTTCAGGTATGAAGTTAGAAAATTAACATTTTTTACAATGGAACACTGTCACAACACAAATTACTAAGTATTAACTGAATAAGCTTCAGGCTTATAACCCGGGCTCATTCAAGAAAGTACAGTATGCTGAGGATCAAATGTTTGAGCTTAAGTTTATCTTATGATGAAACCAACATTTAATTGGCTTTAAATTAACAACAACAAAAAAACACAATTTCTTTTTTCTCTTGTGAAGCAAAGTCTTATACTGTAGTCCCAGCATCTCTAGAACTCACTACATAGCTCTGGATGGCCTCGAACTCAGATCAACCCTTCTGCCTCAGTCTTCTAAGTGACACACAGTTGAATTTCTCCTTTGTTAGCATTCAGAATTGTGTTATTTATATCAATCAGAGGCCAAGATTTGAAAACTCTAGCAATATATGAAAGTATAATTTATTGCTTTTTTGGTATTTATTTATTGGGGTTGGGGGTTAACTGCATGCATGTGCCATAGTCTGCATGTGAAGGTCAGAGGAAAACTTTCAGGACTCAGTTCTTGCCTTCCATCATGTGGGTTGCCAGTGATGAAACACAGGTGGATAGGCTTGACAGCAAGTACCTGCTGAACCATCTCGCTGGCCCTAATATATTACTGTTAACTAAACGTTTTGCCTCATCTGAATGAATCATAATATACTTTTTCTTGAATTCCAGAAACGTTGACCAAAATAAGGAAAAATATAAAAGCACTGAAGGAACAGTGGATGTATGTTAACTAAATCTGTATGGTAGCTAAAAATTTCTTATGTTGCTTAATTTACATATGATTTTTAAAAAATTGTAATATTTTTATTTCTTTGAAATTTTCACACAATGTATTCAGATCCTGTTCCCTGCCTCCTTACCCCATTACTTCATATCCTCCATTTTTAAATACTTTATTATTTGTATCTTTTTATGTGTATGAGTAGATTGCCTGCATGTATGTAAGTGCACCCATGTGCAATGCCCACAAAGGTCAGTAGAGGGATTCAGATACCCTGGAATTGGAATTACGGATGGTTGTTAGCCACCAGGTGGGTGCTGGGAACCCAACCCAGGTCCTCTGCAAGAGCAGTCAGTGCTCTTAACTGCTGAGCCGTCTCTCCAGCCCAAACATAGGAGATAATTTTAAACACATATATCTCGTATATAAATGTTTATGTGAGTGTATATACATGAATTTTATTCAAAAATAAACAATGAACTATTAGAATTTTTAAAACTGTAATTTTAAAAAATCATACTTTCTTGGTAATGTGTTGGATTCTACTTTAAGCAAATTACCTGTAATTTGGTCAGTTAAGGAAAATTGGGCTAGATATTAGATAAGATTATGAATAATATAACACAGTAAGCATAGTATGATCTCAGTGTATATATTTAAATTGTAAATATATTTGCAGATAAGTGTTCAGAAGACAAGAATTGTAGTGCTAGCAGTCATGATTATTTCTGGATAATGAAAAGATTAAAGTTTCCTGTCCTTCAATGTACATTCACTATTTCTCTTATAATAAAAAATTGAGAGAGATAGGAAGGAGGGGAAGGAAGAAGGAAGGGAAGGGAGAAGGAAGAGAAGGAAGGAAGGAGGAAAGGAAGGCAGGGAGGGAAGGAAGGAAGGGAGGGATGACAAAGAGAGAGAGGGAGGGAGGGACTGGAGGAACTCACAGTAGTAAACTCAAATTCTCACTCTATTCTCCAACCCTCCCTAAGGTCAAAGTTATGAATTCAGATCTGTATGCTCAGAATTAGTCAGATAACAGTTTTACCTCAGTAGCTGAAAGAGCTCAGGTTAGCCTTTAAAGAAGCCTGCTTTCAACTTACTGCTTGAAGGCCCTTCTGCGGCCCTCTGTTCCCCTGAGGAAGAACAAGCACTCCTCCTGCTTCCTCAGCTCTTCTGTCTTCCTTTCCTTCAACTGCTCCTCGTGCTTTTTCTTAAGCCATAATCGAAAAGCTTGTTGTGGGTCTCTGTTAACCTGCTGATTGGAAAAATAGGATTTCCTTAATTTAGATAAACTAAAACTACTTTAAAGGCCCTATGAAACTACAAAAAAAAAATGAACTACTCATTCATTTTTTTCACAACTCCAACCTCATTAGCTGAACTCCTAGCATCCAGTGCAAATGCATCACCCTTCAGACAACAACGTCGATTATGCTTTTGGAAGGAAGCAACATTGACTCATTTCTTTCAGTCTTCTGAGAAAACTGGGGATGTATTTCAGTGGTAGAGCACCTAACTAGCATGCTCAATGCCGAGACTGACCTCCAGCATCACCCCCAAAAGAGTCTTATTGAGAAACGTAATAAACGAAGAATGCATAACAGCTGTGGTTTTCAAAGCTGAATCTTTGTCAAATAATTTTTCTCAAAAGGTGCAAACATAGGAAACAAAGGATGGGAGAGAGGTTGGCATAGGCAATCTGAGTAGATGGAGGTCCTTGAGGCATTCCTGCAGAAGTTCCACAAAGCACAGTTTACAGACGTGTAATTCAACACTTATTTACCTTTTTAAATTTTAATTTTTTAATTTTAACACTGTCTATCAGAAGCTACTTAACTCCTAAGTCCATGTTCAAAACTATAATTACTGCTGGGTATATTTTTATGTAAGTATATATACTTATTTTCCTAATTGTGATTTCACACACATGTTTTTCATAGAATTATCACTATTTATAATTTATTTTATAACTCTGTTTGAAAACTGAATACTTTATTTCTGAGATCTTGAATTCCTTAAAGGTGTCTCTAATCACAAATCTCATAAGATTTCCTTTTTTCCCTATATTTACTTCTTTCACATTCAACTAGTCTTAAAACTTTTTATTTCTCCCTCTCCCTCTCTTTCTCTCAGTGTGTGTGTGTGTGTGTGTATGTGTGTGTGTGTGTGTATGTGTGTAAGAGAGAGAGAGAAAGAGAGAGAGAGAGAGAGAGGAAGAGGATGTGTGTGCATGGTGTGGGTGTGTGTGTGTGTGTGTGTGTGTGTGTGTGTGTGTGTGTACATATGCACATGAGTACAGGTACCCATGTGTGAGTCATCTGATGTGGGTGCTGGGAATCAAACACCAATCCTTTGCAAAAGCAGCAGATACTCAACTGCTGAATGATCTCTCCAGTCTTTATAATTTAGTTTTTTTAAATCCCTACTTACATGAGCACTGGATGACACAGATTTTTCCTGTTTTAATTAAAACTGTAATCCTGTGCAAGCGACAGCACTTTTCATAAATAAATATTTTAAATGTCTTATTGAATACATGAAAACTTTAATTAGGATTTATTTGGGTCTAAAAAGTTCCCATCATTTTTCACATGCTACGGTCATCTGTATGTATGACTTACTATTAATATCTTTTCCCAATTTTTTCAACTGGAATACTGAGTTTTTGCTCTAACAATATAAATACTGAAAGTAAAGATAATAACTTTAACAATTTCAAACCTTCTAATTGGTTTTTCATGGAATTTCCATTAAATATAAAAATTAATTTTGAAGAACTCATCAAGAATATGTTCTCCATCTATGTGAAAATATACATCTTTCACTTACCAAATAACTCATATGTGTAATTGTTATTCCACTCATCAAGATAGGATGTATATGTTTAAATTTATTTAAATATTCTTTTTGGCTGGGTGTGATGTCACATGCCTTTAATTCCAGCACTCGAGAGGAAGAGGCAAGCAGATCTCTGTGAGATCAAGGCCAGCCTAATCTACACAGCGAGTTTCCAGAATAGCTGGGGCTACAGGGACACCCTGTCTCAAAATAACAGCAATGGGGTGGAGAGATGGCTCAGCGGTTAAGGACACTGGCTGTTCTTGCAGAAGACCCAGGTTCGAATCCCAGCACCCACATGGCAGCTAACAACTCTCAGTAACTCCAGTTCCAGGGGATCCAACTGCCTCTTCTGTCTTCCATGGGCACTGCATGACATGGGTGCACTTACATATATGAGAAATACACTCAAAAAATAAGTCTTACATATTTATTGAAGGGTCTTTAATTTTTGGTTGAATTAATATGTATTTTAAGAAGCAAACCTATGAGGTTATTGGAATATAAGAAAGCTATACATTTTTGTATACTTATCATGTAAAACACTTTGCTAATACTTCACCCTTTGTTTTTTTCCTTTTCTTAATGAACTGGATAGAAGTCCCAGAATACAGTTAAATCATTACAGAGGAAAGCCTTGCATGCTTCTGACTTTAAATGCTATACATTCAGCAATGCTCATAATATATTTTTTTCAGAATTTGTAAAAGAAATTATAGTAAATCTTAACAAAATGGCTTTTCTATATTGAGATAATTATATAGTTGTTATGCTCTTTCTACATTTTATTTACATTGTGTGTGTGTGCATGCCTGTGGGCACACGTGTACCACGACATGCATGTGGAGGTCAAAGGACAACTAGAGGGACCATGTGGGTCCTGGGAATCACACTTAGGTCATACAGCTTGGCAGCAAGCACCTTTACTCACAGAGCCATCAGATGCTAACTGAAAGCCCCAGATTTTGATCTATCCTTCTGACTGGCCAGCTATATGAGTGTCCATGACCTTTTTTAAGGTTCAGTTAATTTCCTAGAGCAATTCACAGAATTAAGGGAAGCATTTAAGGATTCACTATGTTAATAAAGAATAGAGGGCTGGCAGGGTGTCTCAGTGGGTAAGGGTGCCAGCCAGCAGGCTAACTACCTCAGTTTGATCCCCAGGACACACATGGTAGAAGGAATGAACTGACACCCTAAAGTTGTCCTCTCACCTCCACATGTGCTCTGTGACATGCTACCCTACCCAAAAAATAAAAGTAAAAAACAATCAAGCTGAGAATGGGTGGTGCACATCTATAACACCAGCAGCCAGGAGACTGAGGCAGAAAGATAACGAGTTCTTCACAAGTTAAAAGATATACTTGCTCCCCTCCCCTCATTGCTTAGAGGCTATCCTGGGATATATAATGAGACTCTGTTTCAAAACCAGAATAAATTCAACAACCACAACAAAAGGAATATAATAATAGGGGCTGGAGAGATGGCTCAGCAGTTAAGAGCACTGGCTCCTCTTGCAGAAGACCAGGGTTCAGTTCCCAGCACCAACATGGCTGTTCACAACCATCCGTAACTCCAGCTCCAGGGTATCTGATCCCCTCTTCTGGCCACTGGAGGCACCAGGCACAACATACATGCAGGCACTCACACATGCATGTATAAAAAGAGAGAATATAATAAAGAATGCAGATGAACAGCCAGAGGTAAGCATTCACAGAGAAAGGTAAGTAAGAAGGGGTTTGAAGTTCCTATGCCCTCTCCAGGGCACACTACATTCCTGGCAGCTTCATGTGTCTAACGACCTCAGAAGATCTTCAAACCCCACAGCTCAGAAACATTTTTAAGACTTCATCACATCCTAAAGGATTATTAGCCCAGTCTCGAGCCTCTCTCTCTCCTTCTTATTTTTGAGGATGGAACTGGAAGTTCTAAACTCCTAGCTACCACTTAGTGTTTCTACTGATCAACCCTCATCCTGAAGCTCACCAAGCATCACCTCATTGGAACAAAAGACTCCTATCACTCAGGGAATCAGAGCTCCCTGTCAGCAACCAGAGCCAAAGACCATATATTAGAAGAAAAGACACACTTAGCATCCCCATGGTTCAAGGAACTACAAGAGCTCTTAGGCGCTCTGTGCCAAGTACCAGGGACAGAAACCAATATTTTTATATATCTTACTATTTCACAAACACATACACAAAGCTGTATTCATACACAAGCATGCATGTTACTCATTTAAAAAAAAAACTAAGATGACAAATCACATACAGTGTTGGCTAAGTTGTGATAAATACTTCACACACTGTTGGAGGGATAATACATTGGTTTAAACTTTTGTGGATCATTGCATATTACAAAAAAATTTACTATGAACGTTCAAAAGTTTTAAATTCTACTCTAAAGAAACTTCCTGAGTCCTGAAGTTCCTCAGTATCACACACATCTTTATTAGAAAGCTGTTAATGGCATGGTAGTGAAACCTAGCTAAATATCCACAACGGAGGAATGGTATAAACAGCAGAATACCAACTATTTATCTGAAAAGAAAGTGAGATTTAAACATAACGGCCTACAGAGATGTTCGTGATGAGGTAAAACAACCACATAATGAACTTTATGACACAACGTGTAAACATAAACATCAATATGCTCTGGATGGATTCGTGCCACACATTTACAAATGACTATCACTGGGAAATGAGTCAAGAAGCAGTGAAAATCACATTACATGTATTTACATACACATGTACACACACAGATTTAAAGCAGTAAGGAACCAGATGACTAGTTACTTTCTTGAAGATTTTCTCAATGGTTCAGTTTCTAAGATTTTATTTTTATGTGTATGCGTGTGTGTCTGTGTGGGTACCTGAGGAGGCCTGGTGTCAGATCCCCTGGAGCTGGAGTTACAAGTGGTTGTGGGCCACCTGATATGGGTACTGGGAACCAAACTCAGGTCACCTGGAAGAGCAGCAAGCACTCTTAACCACTGAGCCATCTCTCCAGACCTTTATTTCAATTAAAAAAATAATATTGTGCTTTTAAATTTGAGTGGCTTTATGATTTCTGTCTATTGTGATACTACTCTGTAAGTTTGTGAGGAAATAGGTATGTTTGTCCTCTTTGAATATTAAAATTATAATACCTCAAAAATGTAAAAGAGTAACTTTCTATTTCCTATGCTATGAAATTTGAATAAAACTAGAATAATTTGGTTTTTGCAGGGTTTGTTTAGAAATTGCAGTCATGTGCACAATGGCATCTTCTCCAGGGGTAGTTTTTGGACCTTTTTTTTTTTTTTTTACTTTTTCTATAAGGTTCTTAGTCTGCTATTCAAACTCTGTTCCATAATAAGATCAGCTTTCACATCTGAATACACTTGCGCTTCAGAGAGGAATCTTACTCTACTGTTCATGTCTTCCATCTGCTTTGCTCGCTGAACCCTCCTCATCTCTAGAACCTGCTCTCGCTTCTTTTGCAGCCACGCTTTAAACACCATGTCGTTCTCTTTTTTCTTTTCATTCTCTTCCTCAATTTTGCGTTGTTCTTCCTGGTGGAGAGAATATGGAAAGATTTTTTAAAAATCAATGAAATTACAGTTGTTAGTGAGTTGGACATATTTTGAGATGTGAAATTAGGATTCCCTGCCTCTGAAATTTTACAAATGAAAACTGCTCCTCTTTAACATACAGGGCCTCTAATCTGCCTAGGAAGAAATATGAAAAGAAATAGACTAGAAATAAAGTAGTTGTTCAATACATACTCTTCAGGAATAATTCGCATCTCTCTTCTACACCCTAGTTTAGTTTTGATAACAAATCAATTGCAATGCAAAAGGAAAACTATACATTCTAGGAGCACTAAAATAACTTGAACATTTTTTCATTACTGTTAAATTTGTCAGTTGAGATGAATGTTATTAGTTATGAAGAATACCACTGTCACATAAAATGCATATTCATTGATAAGATATGCTTGCTCTCTAGGCCTTGCTTTAAAATGCTTTCACTAGTGGTTGGGAATGTAGCTCAGTTACATGACAGAGGGCTTGCCTAGTATATGTGCTACTCTGGGTTCTATCAACAAGACAAAATATTTAAAATTAAAGTAATAATTGAATGAATGAATAAAATACTTTAGCTTGAAAAGTAAAGAGATGGAGAAAATATGCAAAAATTGTAATGACATTTGAATCTGGTGATGGGGATACAAGAAGTAACTATAGTTTTATATGAGTTTGAAATTTTCATTTAAAATGTTTTTCAGGTTGTTTGTGTTCATAAAGTACCATTTTTTGCTGTCAGAAGCATACTTAAGAGATTTGGTTAACTATTAAGGAAAAAATTAATTTATATCTGAATCATTCGGTCATTGTTATAAAAAGAAGTAATAACTTTGAAAGGAAGGCACTTAAATCAGTTAGAACTGTAAGATAATCTCTGGAAAGAAAAAAAAACAGCATAGTGGAAACAGCACCAAGTTAGAAGCTCCATGAAAGAATCCTCTGTGATCATGCTGTGTCAGCTGAGGCAAGGCATTTAATTTCCTCTGTGTTCTCAGCATCTGAGATTTCATTTGGAATTCTGGAGACATTTCACTAGGAATATTTGGCTCTATTCTCCCCATCCCCAGTAGTGGTGATGGAATCTAAAGTATTGTGCATGCTAGACAAACACTCTACCACTGAGCTACATCCTCAGCCAGACTCTAGTCAATCCAAAACTAAAATCCCTGAAACCAAGGGATTGTAGGCAAAATACATACACATACACACACACACACACACACACACACACACACACACACACACACTATAACCCCAGTCTACCTGTTGCTTACTCTTTGTGCCTTCATTTTCCCACGTGAAATTTGACTTCACCTACCTCATATTATTTACTTCTCTGTCTCACCTTTACAGTGAAAGGATATGATGACGCCATCGAAGGGATCTCCTCAGGCTCCAATAAAGCTCTTTCTACTATCCTTTTTGATGTTTACAAGAAAGAATCAGGGTAATCCCAGTGTATCATAAATACACATTCTCATCACTTACCCAATCAATTATAACAAGAGAAAAGAAAGCGGTCAAAAGCATTCAGTGCTTTTGAAGCACCATTTCTACTCCCACTACATTTATAAAACATGAAAGCATGCTCTTCTTTCTATGCAGGTCCCACTTGTGCATTCTTACCTCTCTCTTTAGCTTTTCTCTCTTTCGTTCTAGCTGTTTTTGAAGTTCTTTCTGTCGTGGGGAAAGACAATACGTTGAGGTCACTGGAGAGACACCTGCAGACTGTGTCCTGGAATTTGATCTCCTATTTCTTTTATTTTGATCTGAGTTGGCAGCAGAGCTTGGACGAGTCTTGGGGATGGGTGGTGGTTGAAGGGTATAAGCCAAAGGCTCTCTTGCTGATGAGAGAGCAGCAGCATGAACCTTTGCATCAGGCTCTTCTTTCTCCACAACACTGACAGGTGGGTTGGGACACCTGAGTGACAATTGCAAAGGTTCATTTTCTGTACTGTTAGCACAATTAATAGGGGACAAAACTCCCTGACTCTCAATATCTTGTAAATTGAGAAGTTCAAACTTCCCATCTCCCTCTACCAGTATCTTCCTTTCATTTTCTTCACAGCTTCCATTGGTTACTGACAGGAGCACATTTTCTGGTCCTAATTCACCAGAAATACATAACTGTGACAGTTTTCTAGACATATTATTTTCATTTTCTGAGTAATTTTTGCAAGGGCCATTTTCATCTAATGGAGGGACTTCCAGATCAACTAATTTGTCTTTGAACTTAAGTTTTCTCTCCCTTTTATCATTAACAGGTTCTTGATTCTGTAGAATCTTGTTCGCTTCTATAATTTTCTCCATAATGTACCTCCTTACGTCCTCATCCTCTTCTTCATCTAGGTCTTTCTGGTTTTCTAGTTTGGAATCCTGGGAAGAGTTTTCACTATCGGGATCTGATATGGGATCCAAAGGCTGAATACTTGGAACAGAAATGGAGTCATTTCTTCTTGGTGAAGCCTCACCCTTTAGATATTTATCTGGACCAGAGAGCTGTTGGGTGTCTTTTATGTGTGTCTCATTCTCTTCTAATTCCTGGTCAGTGTCATCTTCTGTCTTGCAAGCCATCTATAAAGAAAGATATGAGATTCGACTTTCCAGCAACTGAGACTCTGTTCAATTATTTATGGGGACGATCCAAAGTGAATTTCTTTTCTGTTCATGTGGGTTTTTTTTTTATTATAAATAGGGAAATTTAAGTGCTTCTTACTTACACTTGACTCATAATTATATCCATATTTATGAGAACCTCAAAAATACATGACAATAGGTCATGGAAGAGTTAATATTATGATTTTTTTTTTGGCCTTTTTTGAGACAGGGTCTCTCTGTAGCCCCAGCTGTCCTGGAGCTCACTTTGTAGACCCCGCTGGCCTTGAACTCACAAAGATCCATCTGCCTCTGCCTCCCGAGTGCTGAGACTAAAGGCGTGCACCACCACGCCTGGCAGGAAAAGTTAATCTTAATTTTGAGGTTTAATGCTGCTAATGCCACAGCCACATTTTTAAATTTTTTATGCTAGTGCATCGAAAACTAATTACCAATAGCACAATATTCTACAAATCTTCTCCTGTGACATTTTCCTCCCTTTACATTTTTCAGAACTTTCTAAAACATTTTCTCCTTATAACATTTGAGCTCTTCAAATAAAGCAGCTCTCTCCCCCAAGCAAGACCAAGGCCTTTGGTCACAGCCTAATCATGAGGTTTTTAATCTTTTCAGAATATTACTGCTCTTAGCATTCACAGAACATCCACATGTTCCAAGTCAATTTTTATACCTACATAGAATTTTCTTTGCTCCAACATCCTCAGAGGCTTCCATAAATCCAAGCTAACAACCACTGGATAATTTGATCTTGCATTAAAAAAATAATTTTACAAGAACTATATGTACCACAAACCGTGCTCTGTGTCTGCCATTTTTATGTCTTTCCTAGAATCGTTCCAAACACTTTACCCAAAAACATGGAACTTTTTCACTTTTTCAGACACTGTCTTCACTCTTAATGAAGTTCTATGGGGGCGATTTCATGCAGCTCTCTTTTCCCCTTTCAATGCATATCTCTTATGTTTACTCAAAGGTCATCTTTTCTGACAGCCTTTCTTACACTGTCAAAGTCCAGTGAGCAAACCTGGTCGTTGAAATGTCTGTCAAATAACTACAACTTAAGATAGATCTCTGCATTACACTTGTTTTCATTTTTAATTTTATTTGATTCTCTGATTCATTTCTATAGTATCAACTCATGAGTTCTCCTTTATTGTTCACTTTTTTTAAAGCATGGTCTCACTATAGTCCAGGCTGGTGTGAGATTTGCACTCCTGAGTGCTTGTATTACAGGTGTGTGTCAACACACCTAGCACTTCAATTAAAATGAACTTTTTATGGAAATTCTTCCCCTGAAACTCTTACTATCTCTAATTTTGTTTGTTTGAGACTCGGTCTCCCATAGCCCCAGCTAACCTGGAACTCACTATGTAGACCACACTGGCCTGGAACTCACAGAAATCCACCTCCCTTACCTCCCTGTGCTGGGATTAAAGGCATGCACCACACCAGGCCCCTGTCTCTAGTTTTGTCATTTCTTTCCCCTACTTCTTCAAAGGAAGAGGATATTGTAATTATACACTGGAATGTGCAAGATTCAGGAACTCACTTTGATCCCTGTGTTCCCAGCATCTACAATAGCCTCTGACATACAGTAGGTAGGTAGTCATATTTATTGAGTGAATAAAAAAGTGAAATGGTGAACCCTCAGTATCATCACTCTAATTCTGTTTTTTGTAATATTTTATTTTATGTATATGAGTGTAATGAGAGAGACCATGAGCCAGAACAAGTTGGTTTCTTCTGAATTTCCTTTCTCTATATCTGAGAAACAGCATATGATCCCAGCTAACGTACTTCCTCCAAGTATATTCTAGCTCAGATTAAGCTTTTATTTTTCTCTATCTCCATTCCTCTGAAGAGCTAATTCAGTCTTAAAGTTTCAACTGTTAGCGTAAAGATTATATTTTATAAGACTTGTCTTGCTTTATTGACACCAAAAGTAAAACCCCATGATTTTACTCAGCTTTGTAGAAAGCAGGAATTAACTGTTTATTTTTCACTTTTGATGCAAAAAATCATATTTATTATTTATTTAAGTTAAAATTTCATTATTATTAGTTTTATTTAGTACAATTTAATTTCTGTTCTCTTATTCATACAAGCTTTGGAGTACAGTATTTAAACTATCTAACATCTGCATTTCTTCAAGATGGGAAGAATGATATTTCATCAATACACATCAAGAAAAATCCTGTGAGGTTTAAATGAGATGACATATGTGGAAACCTTCAAAGCTGCAAAGCGCTGTGCTGATGTCCTGTGAATGCCACATACCCTTGACTCACACACCATTGCACTGCCGTCACCTTTTTCTTTATCATTGATTAACCACTCCAGGTCCTTTTCAAAGTCATCTTCATATTCTCCACTTTCTTTTGAGGCCATAGCTTTACTTTCATTCATTTTTCTGCTTGCTAAAGAATAATGCTGTAAGATTTCAAAAGATAAAGGGATGTGTTAAACCACCTTAGATCTGAATTTCCAAGTAAGCTAATTAACATAGAAGTGCATAACAAGGAATGTTCAGAATAAACTTGTTTGTATATACTCTGCAACGACAAGGCATGTCCATAAGCAGACATTCCTAACAGCCCTTCCACCTCCCCCCAATTCCCTAAACACTAGTCTCTGAGGTGATTTTTTTGTTTTGTTTTGTTTGTTTGTTTTGGTCTTTTTGTGACAGGGTCTCCCTGTAGCCCCAGGAGCCTGGAACTGTCTATGCAGACCAGGCCAGCCTAGATCTCATAGAGATCCATCTGGCTTTTGCCTCCTGAGTGCTGGGACTAAAGGCATGAACCACCACACCATGCAATCTGAGATTTTTGAGGTAATTAAGAGGATGGCGGCTTAGAAAGAGATTTTTCCCCATCCCCTACCAATTAGTAAAACACAGTCCAAGTCAGAGCTAAACACCAATTTGGGTTTTTGTTTTGTTCTGTCTTTGTTTTAGTTTCAGTACTTGTGTTTTCTTATGTTCAAATAAAAAATGATTACACCAAGTTCCATCTTCAGTTTCTCAATCCTCTAGTAAATTTGTGGTATAATTATAGTTTGTGATTTCAGAGCTCTAAAATAACAGCTAATTTTTTATTATGATGAATGTGGACTTCTAGAGAAGTCAAATTTTTGCCAATCTTAAATAAAATATATTTTTCACGAGGCTGGAGAGATGGCTCAGCAGTTAAGAATACTGACTATTCTTGCAGAAGATCTGGGTTCGAATCCCAGCACCCACATGGCAGCTAAAAGCCATCTATAACTCCAGTTCTGGGGATCTGACAGCCTCTACTGTCATCCGTGGGCATTGCATGACATAGATGCACTTACCTAATTGCAGGCAATACACGCATACACATAAAATAAAAATAATAATAAAGTATTTTAAAAAATATATTTTTTCACTAATAAAAGAACTTTTAGTTCCAAATACTATCAAGAACACAGTAATAGTAGAGAGAGTTGTCAAAGGAAAGATAATTAATGATGTTGTTAAGATTGCATATAAATTCAGTCATTTTTTGTGATAAATCTTTTTCATATTCATCGATGAGAATATAAATGCACATAGCTTTCATTTGGTAGTTTTACCTGTAAAAATTGTCCTAGTGTATGTACTTTGCATGGTGCATATACATGCCAAGACCACAAAGCACAGAATTTGGTTAAACAAAATAAAATACTGTTCCAGCTCTGTAAAGGAAAAGTGGCTCTGTGTATTGGACTCTTGGCCATCATTAAATAGAAAGGTGAGTAGTGAAACGATGTGAATGGTGTAGTGCTGTTCCTCAGGAACTGCCAGACTTTTTATATAAAGAGCCAAACAGCAAAGTTTTTTAAGCCATATAATATTTGTCTTAAATACAGTCATATATTGTATTTTGTATATTGTATCCATTGCTTATGGACGGGGCTGAATTCTGAGAAATGTGTCTTTAGGTGATTTTGTTAGTGTGAACATTGTGGAAATCATTTACATGTACTGAGAAGCTGTCAGATCTGTAAGTGATCAGGAGGTGATCTGTCTTACCATCCTACACATGCTCATCACTGAAATTCAGCCATTTTTATAAGGACCAAGATAAAGTTATATTAAAATCAAGGTCAGGTAATAGCCCTTTTAATTTTTCATGTATGCATAACTGTTCAAACAAATGAAGCATACAAATTTTTATCTATAGTGTTTCTACATATGTGAGCATTAGTTATATCTTCATATACAGTTCAATCTTTACATTTGTTGAACACTTACTATATGCTTACATACATTCCTATGATTTATAAAATGGACCTGTGCTTTTCCAGTGGAACTTTCAGTATTGTAGAGAAGACAAAACTAAATAAAAACATAAATAAGATCTGGCTTTGGTAGGCTAAGGCTAAGGTCCTAGCAGACAGTCTGAGAGGGTGGGTTTGGACCTCCTCCATCGGGGTAGCAGCTAGGAGCTCAGCAGACCACCAGAGAGTTCAGGGTTCCTCTGGCCTCCAACTTCCAGAGGGCCTGAGAACCCAGGGGACAGCCTGACAGCCCCTGGATCCTGTCTCCACATGGTGTTGAGCTTCCCCTAATTGCACCATACCATCCCCCTGGGATTTTGTGAGGCCCCTCCCAAGGCCCAAGGGCAGATCTGGCTTTGATAGGCTAAGGCTGAGATCCTAGAAGACAGCCTGAGAGGGTGGGTTCTGACCTCCATAGGGGTAGCAGCTAGGAGCTCAGCAGACCCCCAGAGAGTGCCAAGTTCTGGCCCCCCTCTGGCCTCCCTCTGGCGCAGGGTTAACAATGGCACAGAACTGCCTGAGAGAACCTGGATCCTGCCTCCACATGATGAAGGAAGCCTGAGTGTGCCTAACTGGAACCTGAATTGGGCTTCTGTGGGTACCCCTGAATAGCTTATCTGAAGCCATCAGTTCCCTCCAAAATAAACCTGAGAGAAACTGAACCCTGTACCAACCAGCTTTACATAACCAATAGAAAGGATCTAGGCACCTGGATAGTACAAACAGAAGCATACTTCAACACATGAAAAACCAAAATAACTTATCCCTACCAAATACAATAGCCCTCTAGAGGAGTACAGTGAGAACCACCTAGAGATAATGCAGGACATGGAAGTCGAAAGAACAATTATACACATGATGAAGGAATTCAGTGAATTTAAAGAACACACAAACAAATCAAAGAGCTAAAAGAAGACAGGGATAAACTTCTGAATGAATTCACAAAGGAGATAGAAATATTGAATAAAACTCAGGCAGAAATGAAGAAGGAAGTGAAAAGCTCAATAAGCCAACTTGAAACAACAGCGGAAAGCCTCACCTCTAGAATGAATGAAATGGAAAACAGAATATCAATACTGGAGGATAAAGTTGAAGAATTGGATCACTTGAGCAAAGAGTATGGAAAAATTTTAAAAAGCACAGGGATGGAATATGCATGAGATGTGGGACACCATGAAAAGACCAAATCTATAGATCATAGGAATAAAGGAAGAAGAATTTCAGGTTAATAGTGTTGACCAGATCTTAAACCAAGAATCGTGGAAGAAAATTTTCCTGAAATTAAAGAATGACATGCCCATGCAAATACAAGAAGCATATAGAACACCAAACAGGCAAGACCAGAAAAGAAACTCTCCATGGCACATCATAGTAAAAAAACTCAACGTACAAAACAAAGACAATACTGAAAGCTGCAAAAGAGAAACAAGTTGCATATAAAGGAAAGCCCATCAGAATTACAGCTGACTTAGTGCAAACTATGAAAGCCAGAAGAGCATGGACCAAGGTATTTCTAGTTCTGTCAAAACACTTCAAAGGACAGCCCATCTGAATTACAGCTGACTTATCAATGGAAACTATGAAAGCCAGAAGAGCCTGGACCAAGGTATTTCCACTTCTACATGACAGTAGATGCCAGTCCAGAATACTATCAGGAAAAATGTCTATTATAGTTGAGGGGGAAAGAAAAATCTTCCATGACACGAAGAACCTGAAAGAATACATGCCCACAAAACCAGCTCTTCTAAGAATACTTGAAGCAATACAGAGAGAAGAGAGGGAAACAACTATACCCTAGGGGCAATGAAAGAAAATAAACAAAGATATAATCTGGGAAACACAAAATTACAGAGAAGACAAACAGCAATCAAAATGATGGCAACCAATACATACCTTTCAATAATAACCTTAAATAATAATGGACTAAACTCCCCAGTCAAAAGACACAAGCTAAGTGAATGGATTAAGAAACAAAATCCATTTCTTTGCTGTCTGCAAGAAACCCATCTCACATTCAAGGACAGGCTCTACCTTAAGGCAAAAGGATGGAAAAGAATATTCCAAGAAAATGACACTAAGAAACAAGCAGGGCTTGCAATTCTAATATCTGACAAAATAAACTTCAAAGTAAAGCTAATCAGAAGAGATAAGGAGGGTCACTTCATTCTGATCAAAGGAACAGTTAACCAAGAAGATATTGCAATCCTTAACATATATGCACCAAATTCTGGTGCACCCAAATTCATAAAAACAACACTACAGGACTTTAAGACATAGATTAACCCAAACTCAGTAATAGCAGGGGACTTCACTACTCCACTGTCTCCATTAGACAGGTCAACTGGACAAAGACTAAACAGAGAGACTTCTGAATTAAATGATACCATACATGAAATGGACCTAACAGACATCTTTTGATTATTATACCCAAACACCAAAGAATACACGTTCTACTCAGCACCTCATGAACTTTTTCAAACATCTACCACATACTGGGACACAAAACAAACCTCAACAAATAAAAAAATATTGAAATAATTCCATGCATTCTATTGGACCACAAAGCAATAAAGCTCAAAATCAACACTGGACAAAACCCTAGTCACTACACGAATTCGTGGTGATTGAACAACACACTCATAAACAATGAGTGGGTCAAAGGAGAAATTAAAAAAGAAATAAAAGAATTCCTGGAACTCAACGAAAAGGACAATACAACACATCACAACCTCTGGGACACTTTAAAAGCAGTCCTAAGAGAAAGGTTTATAGCTCTAAGTGCCTTCATTAAAAAATGGAAAAGAGCCCAAATAAATGATAAAACACTGCAACTCAAGGCACTGGAAAGGCAAGAACTAATGAAACCCAAACCCAGAAGAAGAGAAGAAATAACAAAAATCAGAACAGAAATTAATGAAATAGAAACAAAGAAAACAATACAAAGAATCAATGAAACCAAGAGCTGGTTCTTTGAAAGCTAAACCAGATAGAGAGACCCTTAGCCCAGTTAACCAAAAAAGGAAAGAGCAAATCTAAATCAATAAAATTAGAGACATGCCCAATTCATTCTGATCAAAGGAACAATAAATCAAAAAATATTACAATCATGAACATATATTCCCCAAACTCTGGTGCACCTAACTTCCTAAAAA